TTATCTAATATTCATGAACTCAAGGTAAATCACAACTGCATAAATTCTTTGCTAAAAAACATGTGATTTGGTTATTTATCTATTCCACATTTCTGACTAAATTCATCACTATTTTTTTCATTTAGAATGCAACAGGAGTGAGCCTTCACAGGCCCTAAAAACTGTTTCGCCCTTGGAACTATGGCCTTATGGAACTGTTTACGGGCGACCCAACGAACAGCAGATTATAAAAAGGATGCTGGACTTCCATTTTAGTCTCACAACCACTTCCAGTATTTTTTGACTCTTTCGTTTGGAAAAAAACAACAAAAACTGCAGCTTAACATTACCAATACAACTTTTAAAACGGGAACTTGGTTTAAACCCTTGTTTGATATTCGATTCTCAACGAAAGTTCTTGAATAAATTTCTGAATCTAATGCTACTTTGTTTTATCTACTTAATCGTTGCAAGAAACTTGTGATAAGCGAGCCTCTCAGCACCTAGTTCATGTGTTCAAATGGTTGTGGACTGAATAGAAGCTTTCGCTTAACCGGCTTCCGTGTCTAGTAGCGGGGGATCACCAATACCTCAAGGCAGGAAACTAGGTATGTTAACAATAAAAGAGGAAAAAGAAATTGGTAAATCATAGTATGATACTATTTTTAGTCCTTAAGAATAGATCCAGTTGCCTCTTAAAGGACTCCTGGGAAGTCGCTTGGACTAGCTCGAGCGGCAGAAAATTCCAGCATCCTCTGGGAAAAAGCGATCATGCCGTCATAGCCTTCAGTTTTGTCATCAAAACTAAGCTAAGGTATCCCAACAATAATTTGCGATGTAATTTTAAACGGCTGAATGTGCGAGCTCTACATGACCATCTACAACAGGTGGTTTGGGATGTTCACCCTCAAATCGATGTGGATGGTCATTGGGACTTCTTGCTGCACACGCTCTTATGTGCTACAGACCATTCAGTTCCTCAAACGGTTCCCAAAAGCTTCAAGCCACCTACAGTAATCAAGAACCGTACCCTTCGCCTCCTAAGCCGCAAACGGCACTGTTGGGCGGAATACAAACGAACTAATAACGATGGAGCGTATAGGCAATACAAACATATCAGGAACACATGCACGAAGGCTATAAGAGAAGACAGGCTTCAGTACCAAACAAAGCTTATGGACAAATTCGCCTCTAACCCTAGAAGCCTATTCCGTTATGCAGCCTCTCTTCGTCAAGCCAAAACAGGAGTTTCTCAACTGCTAGGTCCTAACGGCCCGACCAACAACGATGGCGACGCCGCTAACCTTCTGGAGGCCCATTACTCTCAAACATTTCAACCGGCTGATATCAACTTTATTGACGACAGTTTCATCTGCAATTCCACAGGACTTTCTGAAGTGGACCTAAGCGCTGACTTGGTGTTCCGGAAACTGCAGCACTTAAGACTTGACACTTCTCCTGGCCCGGATATGGTTCATCCTGCCATACTGAGGGAGGCAGCCTCAATCCTGGCAACGCCGCTTAGCGTGATGTTTTCACACTCGCTTAGCCGAGGCAAACTACCGGAAAATTGGAAGTTGGCTCACATCACACCAATTTTCAAAGGTGGTCGACGCAACGAACCTTCAAGTTACCGGCCGGTAGCTCTTCTGTCGTTACCTTCAAAACTCATGGAGTCCCTGATATGCGACGGTTTAAATGACTACCTACTGTCCTTAAATTTCTTCTCACCCCAACAGCATGGTTTCAGGAAGGGTTACTCTTGTATAACCAACCTGCTGACTGCGGTGGACAGATGGACAAGCATCCTCGATCGCAAGGGAAAGGTTGATGTCATTTACCTTGATTTCTCAAAAGCTTTTGATAAGGTTAACCACTTGTGTCTTATCAACAAGCTCAAACGACTAGGTATCAAACCACCTCTAATCGACTGGCTTACTTCATACCTAAAAAATCGACACTTTAAGGTTAGGGTTAATTTCACTTTATCTCAAGCTATGGAATGTCCTAGTGGGGTCCCCCAGGGCTCAGTACTAGGGCCTCTTCTCTTCTTGATCTACATAAACGATCTTCCTCAACAGGTAACGTCAGACTTATTACTTTTTGCCGACGACGTGAAACTTTGGAGAGAGATACGCAACCAAGACGATATACAGGCACTTCAAGAGGATCTGACTCGACTTCAAAGTTGGGCAGACGATAACGGACTTACCTTTAACACTTCTAAGTGTAAAGTAGTCCATCTGCGACATGTCGCAAACTACAGTTACAACTTAGGAAACTCCTCTCTAGTAGTATCCCAAGTCGAAAAAGATTTAGGAGTCCTGGTGCCCCATGACTTAAAGTCTTACGCTAACTGTGACAAAAATGCCTTCCGAGCAAACCTTGCACTGGTAACGTTGAAGCGCATTTTTGGCCAGTTTGACGGAAGAACTTTCCACACAATCTTCAATAGTTTCATCCGTCCCCATTTAGAGTACGGAAACATAGTACTCCCCCCTCACTCCAAAAGGATAAGGTCACTTTGGAGCGTATCCAACGGCGAGCCACGAAATCAGTTCGAGGACTCAAATCCAAGCCTTACGAGGAACGCCTCCGTTCACTAGACCTTTACCCACTAGAATATAGGCGTCTTAGAGGTGATTTATTAATGGCTTATAGTATTCTTAACACTTCTGGACATCCTCTTAAACACCTACTTAAGCTTAGTTCGAACAATAACCTAAGGGGTAACACCCAGAAACTGGAAACACAACATAGCAAGACGGGATGTAGACACAACTTCTACTCCTTAAGAGTTGTCAAAAGCTGGAACTCGCTGCCGGCCGAGCTAGTCCAAGCGACTTCTCAGGAGTCCTTCAAGAGGCAACTTGACCTATTCTTAAGGACCAAGGACAGCATCGCACTATGATTTGCCAATTTCTTTTCCTCTTTTATTGTTAACATACCTAGGTTCCTGCCTGGAGGATTTGGTGATCCCCTGCTACTAGACACGGAAGCCTGTTAAGCGAAAGCTTCTTCTATTCCGTCCACAACCATTTGACAACTCTTAAGGAGTAGAAGTTGTGCCTACAGTTCGTTCTGCTATGTTGTGTCTCTAGTTTCTGGGTGTTACCCCTTAGGTTAGTGTTGGAACTAAGCTTAATTAGGTGTGTTAGGGGATGTCCAGGAGTGTTAAGTTTATTGTTAGCCATTAGGTCACCTCTAGGATGTCTATACTCTAATGAGTAGAGGTTAAGTCATTGGAGGCACTCTTCATAAGGTGATTTGGTGCATATCTTCGTCATTTTCTTGGGAGACCTACAGACTCGGGTCCTCTCACAGCTTATTCTAACCACCATGGTTGTCACGGCAGCTGGTGGATAGACACGCGTTACACATCCTAACCTTACCTGCTTCTTACCTTATAGCTTCTAATTCAAATGACAGGCAAGCAATGCCCCTACCCGCACTAATGGAACACTAGTAACTAAAATGCACGCCGTATGGTACCTTACACTGGTTTACGCACTCGCTTAGCTCTTTAGTGAGAATATTAATACGGTCCTGCTGAAAATCCCATGAACCCCCCTATCTCCATCAAAACAAATAAGTCTGTATTCGCAGCATATAGCAATTTTATTATTCAAAAGTAAGATATAACAGTTAGAATTGGAGTAAAATGGCAGTATACAGCAGATGTACGTGGTGCATGTCTTCATCGACTAACTGAAAAGAGAATACGGATATCAGCTTAACAGATTATTTAGAAAGACTAGTGTCTAATTTGAACTTACTGCGTGAGAAAGTTATACTGGAACTACGAATGTTGTAGAAATAGAGTTTCTCGGGGCGTACGAAGCACTCGGACTGTAAGACAGTTGTGCAAAATTAATTCGAATATGAAGGTGAAAATTTGCAGGTACTTTTCATCGTAAGGGTGAACATATTAGGTACCAGTTGACATCATACCGTAAGAAAACACAAATTTGCGAGTGGTGAAATATAATCTATAAAAAAGTGAGCTTAATAACAGTTAATTACCTTTTTACTCCCTGATCATGACCCTTCGGCTTCCTTTGATGGCCAAAACAGCAAACATATACAAGACACTGGTAGCAGATTTCCGGCTTTTCAATGTTAAGCTTGCTTTAACGCACTGAGTAATGGGAACAGCCCCTCTATTACTGTTATATGGCATATTTTTCATAACAAACCCTCTGCAATAGATTGGTAGCATCTGTGACTTCATCTATAATTGTCGGAAGTCTGGGTCCTTTCGAAATCAGTACCGATATACCCTACTGCTGGGCACTCTGTATTAGTTTGACTCGTTGGTGGGACAGTGTTGTCCATAATAATGAAGAAAATTAAAAACCGCAGATTGTTTCCTTTCATTTTGCCGATAACATCCTAAAGGACAGTTAGGAACGAACATGCGAACAGTTAGTCACAGGCGGCAGCAACAATTATTTTAGCTAAATGAAAACGAACTTCGGCTTCGGATATCTAGAAAACAATGTAAAACATAAACGATTGTCGTTTGAAAACGTAAGGTCTTATGTTAATACTAGCCAGCTTAGCTGAATAAATACAGTTACTTCATTAGCAGCAGGTAAAACCCAGAAAACAAAGCAAAATCAGGAAAAACTTTGCTCCAACGTTCAGAGTATTACACTAACTTCTGGATTTTAGCACACTGAAACATCAAATTCTGTAGCTACACAAAAGAAATAGCGGAAAAAAACAGAGAACGAAGAAAGCCGGCCGACATTTTATAACACAAGACTAGCCAGATTGCCCGAAGAAATACATTGACTTGAGTAGAAGCAGCAAAAACCCAGAAAACATCGCTGATTCGAAATAAACTTCACTTCAACATATAGAACATTACACTAAATGCGGCATTTTAGCACACTGAGACATTAAATTACATAGCTACACAAAAGAATTAGCTGAAGAAGCACAGAACGAAGAAAGCCGACCGCCATTGCTTACAAAGATGGCGGATGTAACGATTCCGGCCCCATCCTGATTGGTTGCTAAGCTGAAGGGCACATTTACGAAATTGAGTTGCGTTTAATTGCAGCCCTAATAGCTAGATTTGTTAGTTGCTCAGGATCACTGTAATCAACATTTGTAGTTTTGAATAAGTCCTCTAAAGTTTCCCGAGCGATTACATGCGCCTGTCCGAACAACCGTTTTAGAATTTCCTTGGCCTTCCTGTAACCAAAAGAGGCTTCCAACATAACACAACCCTCAATGGCTGTTTTCGCTTTACCCTTACAATAATGTATCAAATAAAGCAAGCGTTGACCATCATCCTTGACCCTTGATTCCACATAGGTCTCAAACTCCCTTAAAAACTTCCAGTAACCTCTTGGTTGACCGTCGAAATAACTTAACTCAACCTTTGGTAACTCTGGACCTATGAAAAACGCCGTAGGCCTTACGCTTTTTGCTTGCTTCACGTCTAAACTAAGGTTTTCTATGCCATCTGCCATTATATCACAACTAGATTCACTATAATTACAATCGTCCCTATTAGAATATGAACCATGACACATAGAAGCATCAGAAGGCACTTGCCTTGATTGAGGGGATCCATCCTTTTGTTCATCTCTCTTAACATCCACGAGCCTTGGAATTAATTCCCTTCGACGATTGTTTGGCATCGCAAGCGAACGACCAGATATTCCCAGAGACGATGATTGGAATCAACGAAACGAAAGCCAAACGAATTCGACCAAATATTTGTTTAGAACTGTAAGATCCAAACTACGTTTGGACTGCTGGACAGCTGTCTGGATGAGTTAGATACGCGCCCTCGCCCGATTGAAACCAAAACAAAGTAATTGGGTAAGATAGCGGTTCTATAATTTATCATAAATTTAAGTGTACATTATTACCTAAACAAATTTAACCACTCAGCTATCCAACCAATAATTGTTCAATTGATCAAATCTAAATTACAATAAATAAGAAGTTGATAAAGGGTGCAAGAAATTACCAATCACAACAAATAAAGGCTATTCTATCCCGTCTGGATAGAACACGTACAGATCCGTTCAAAAGGTAATAATTGGTCGCTCTATAACACAGTGTTTTCAATTCTGGAAGAGTGCTTCACTTCACAACCAAAATGCACAATTCCAGTCAACACAGGTCAAGCAATCAAAGCAGGAACAAACCAAAATGGCTGCCGCCAAGACTAAGTGTCAAGTAAAACAACATAAGTGCAGTTCGGGTAGAAACATGGGGAATTAGTGAAGGTGTAGTAAAAACAAAAACCATAGTAAAATACAAATATTAACAATTCAAATGTAATCAAAAACTAACAATGTACAACTAAAGGGATCAATAGGAACTAAGCGCAAGTATGTACATGGAGGGATTTTCACAAACACACAAAACATTCAAAATGGATCTTACACGTAGTTTGGATCCTTGACGGATAACGATAAGAATAATATTAATATAATAGACTCTGATATACGCCTACCGAATCTTGGGCGTATTTCATTCGCGTGACGATATATTCCACGCTTTATTCGGGAAATTTACCTAATCAGCTGTTCTCGCTGACCCGGCTGCTTGGTACGGAACGCATACGCACCACCGCCTACGACCCAGCATCAAGTGGTTTAGTTGAACGGTTTCGTTGCCAACTTAAAAGTGCCCTTCGAGCACACGAAAACAACAACTGGTACGAAATCTTACCGCTCGTCCTCTTAGATATCAGAACGAACTTCAAGGCAGATATTCAATGTTCCGCTGCTGAACTTGTATACGGCACGACATTGCGTTTGCCTGGAAAATCTTTCACACCACGGAGCAGTAACGATGTCAGTAAATCAGACCACATTTATCGGCTGTCCGAATTTATGCAAACACTGCCTCCGGCGTCAACTGGAATACAACATCGACAGGTCGCTCCTCCTCGAGAGTTATCTACGTGTTCACATATTTTCATACGAGTAGATTTGGTACGCAAACCTCTGCAACAGCCTTACGAAGGACCTTTCCACGTGATCGCTCGTCACGAAAAGACCTTCAAGACAGAACACGTTGATGACAGTGCCCTACTTGATAACTTAAGACCTAATTTTAGACCCATCAAACCTGATAGCGGTATCTCTACACCTACTTCAGATCCCACGCTAGATACATCAGAGACCTCGTTCTCACGTCCCGGTCAACAGCACGTGTCTTCTGCACCATGCACGGACGAGGCTTCAGTCTCACGTCTGGATCAGCAGAACACACCGCCCTTGACTTCGGATGACATTGCAGGCTCACGAAGTACGAACGAGATTGGCGCCTCGTGTTCCGGTCACCGAGTACGCCTACCCGTACGCACTCGCGACTGACCGCCCAATCAACAACGAACACGGTATAGGACTCTCCCCCTATACTACCTACATGCTACACCTCTTCTCTTTTTCTTTGATTTTTTTATCCTGAGCCCAAGCCTCCGACCATCATCCGTTTGGTACCGTCGACCTCAGTAGATTTTGGCGAAAGCCGGCCTGATCACCCACGCTCTTGTCAACGCACTCAGTCGGTGTTCTAGTTCCGAATATGTCTGGCATACATTTGGTCTCGCGCTTGGTTGATATGGTTTCTTCTGGTTTCTTGGCTCAACGTGGTTCCGTCCTACGTCTGCAACGTTTTCTGGTCCGGACTCCTACGAACGCGATCTTCAGATCCTGGATACAAACCAATCTGGTGTGGTACGTCAACTCGAGCAACAAATACAGCACGTTTCTCCTGGTACCGTTTTACGTAAAAGACCTTCGGTGGCAACTCGAGACTCAACGATCGCTTCCTGTTCTGCCAACCCTTTCGTCCTACAATCGCACGTTTGCTGATCAGTCCCACGAACGAAACCGCTACGTATCGAACGTGTAAACCCTTTCTAGTGAGGGGTTCCTGTAGTGACCTACTTTTATCAAGAGAACGCTATCGGTGTTATGGAAACAATTATTATTATAACCAATTGTACCACGGGTTGTTTTACTGTACTTGTTTGTTTAGCTGTACTAAAGACATTCCTTCTTCCGTTGATTATAACCTTACGAGAATTTGGTTACGCTCAGTAACTCAACTTGTAGCCTGACACAATCTCGTTAACAAATACATTTCGACTAGGGCCATCGACTGTCTTCTGATATTTGGCCTACGGAAGATCTTATAGGTTAACTGGCACGTAGTCTTCCTGTTGTGATGATCATAGTCAAACGCGACTCGACGCCACACTACAATACCTTCACATCTAGTGCTGTCCATTCCGGCTTTGGTGTTTTGGTCTCCCATTAGGGTGTTCAGGTTCTTTCCTAGGCACTTCGTTATGATTTATTGCAGCCTCTCATAAAATGGATCTTAATAGTCTTCATGGCTTTCATTGTCGGGTGCATAAGAATGGATAACATTCATCTTTGTACTTACCCTTACCAATATATTTCTGTAATAACGTCGTTTGTATTGCATGGTCGTCAAAGTAGCCATAGCACCTAGATTGGACGAAAGGGTAATCCATGTTAAGTACTAATCGTGTTGTGTGAGTTCGATGTTGGCTGGTTTGTTAAACTATTGCCATCTAACTAGACATTTAGGTATAAAACCATAGCTTACAACACGGTAAACCTTTCTCCAGAAACGTTATCCATCGACCGTCTACTTCAAGGAAAAGAACGAATCTTGCAGGTTTTCTGTGACTTGAGATGTCATTCCAGAATGTCATGCATGTCCGGTGCAACACAGTTCATCGTGGTTAATCGAAATCACAGTCATGGAAAAATTGACAGTATAGTCTAGTTCTTTAATAAAAATCACATCGCATGGATTTAAATATGACCGTTATTCCTTATCACGAGTGGGGAAAACGTGGCCACATCTACAACCGTTAACTGGCTTGGATTAGTCGCTTCTCGATATACTGATTTCCTATCAAATATATCTTTGAACCTCCTCGTTTCTGACTTCTGATTTCACCAGGTTGGCACGTTTCGATGATAAAAGGTGTTATTGGTTAAGGTGTTGTCAAACTCTGTATACTTGTGACATCTTTACTGGTGAGCCCAACGTGATTTGGTACACCTGTTCGTAAACTTTGAGCTGTTCCCTTTTAAAACTTTATGAATCATATTTCTACTTCAGTTTCCACATATTGTGATTCTTGCTATAATTCTGAATACTTTTCCTTTCTTTAATTCCTATACTTCATATTCATCATGACACCACAAACTCGTAAATTATTTTTTGTAAAGACTCTTACGCCGCCCTCATTTCATCTAGTGCCCGATAATAAACTAGACAATTCACTAAAATACGAAGCCTACTCAAGACCCTGTAAAATCTATCAGAAAAATAAATAAAAAGGCTCCAATAGCTTCGACAAAAAATGCAGGTAGCCAGTTGTGTATCATAATACTGTTTTTAGCACTATATTCTATAACTAGACATAATCCCATATTCTCAGCTCTTTTCTGAACCACCTCCGTTTGTCAGCTGTTTATCCACTCATACATTGTTCACACTTATTTTCTTTATCCTATTAGAATGCTCAACTACGCCTGGAGTCCCTCCGGGGGCTACTGCCAGTCCCAAGCCCGGATAAAGAAGGAGGGTTGAGCATAGGGTTAACGTCCCCATCCCTTAGAAAACTAACTCGCTAAAAAAACGCTAACCAGAAAAGAATTATTCAAACCTTTTAAACTCCGCCCTGGGAGTCAGAAGATCTTCATTTAGAAGAACTATGACGCCTCATGATGAAAGCCGAATTCCTTCGGAAGTGACGAGGCCGATGCCCCTTCTGACAACCAGAGTGACCATTTATTTAGGTACATGGAATGTTCGTACAATGTGGGACACCGGGAGAGCCTTCCAAATTACTGCAGAAATGAGGAGTTACAACCTAGAGGTGCTTGGGATCAGCGAAACACATTGGACGCAAATTGGACGACAACGACTAACTACAGGAGAGCTTCTGTTATACTCCCAATCAATGTTGGCACACCAACAATTGAAGAAATCAGTATGGCCATCAGATGAATCAAGAGTGGCAAAGCAGCAGGACCGGACAACATCCAAGCAGAGGCACTGAAAGCAGACGTAGCGACAACTGCAAGGATACTCCACATTTCTTCAATATGATTTGGGATGAGAAACAAGTACCAAAAGACTGGAAAGAAGGACTTCTGATCAAAATACCGAAGAAAGGCGATCTCAGCAAGTGTGATAACTACAGGGGCATCACTCTTCTCTCAATACCGGGAAATGTCTTCAATAGGGTGTTGTTAAACAGAATGAGGGACTCGGTAGACGCCCAACTTCGAGATCAATAGGCAGGATTCCGTAAAAATCGATCGTGTACAGACCAAATTGCAACTCTACGGGTCATTGTGGACCAACCAATTGAATGGAATTCATCACTCTACATCAACTTCATTGACTACAAAAAGACATTTGATAGCGTGGACAGAACAACACTATGGAAACTTCTTCGACACTACGGCGTGTCTCAGAAGATAGTCAATATAATACAGAGTTCATATGATGGATTACAATGCAAAATTGTGCATGGAGGACAGTTGACAAAGTCGTTCGAGGTAAAGACCAGTTTCAGGAAATGTTGCTCACTCTCACCCCTGCCTCTTCTCCTGGTGATCGACTG